CATGGGGGGAGGGCCCCCGCTGGGGGGTCTGGCCAGCCTGTGTGAGGGGCTGAGGGCTGTTTTCAAGCTGGCCACACCCCATTCAGGGTGGGGGGTCCCACTGGGGTGCCTAGCCAGTCTGGGTAAAAGGGCTGATGGCTGTTTGCGGCTGGCTAAGCCCCCCAGCAGGGACCCTCACCCCATGAGGGTGTGGTCAGCCTGGGTGAGGGGCTGAGGGCTGTTTGCAGGCTGGCCACTCCCCTTTCAGAGTGGGGGTCCCCACTGGGGTGCCTGGCTAGCCTGGATGAGGGGCTGCTGGCTGTTTGCAGGCTGGCCACGGCCCCCCGCTACCCAAGCTCCCAGACCCTTCTTTTTTTTCTTTCTTTTTTTTTCAGCACCTCCTTGAGTGGAGGGAAGCAGGTATCTGGGATTTATTTATCTTCTATAATTGAAACTTTGTAGCCTTGAGCAGAGGCCAGGGCTGGCCAGGGCGGGCAGGAAGCTTGGCTTCCTCCATCAATGGGAGCAACCCAAGCCTCCTGTTCGCTCCAGCTCCATGGCCACCGCCATATTGGTTGGGTTAATTTGCATACATGCTCCTGATTGGCTGGTGGGCTGGCTTGTGGGTGTAGCAAAGTGACACCAATTTGCATGTTTCTCTTTATTAGTGTAGATAGCCTCACATTAATACAGAGAAAGAACAATAACCACTCTGAGGGAAGAAGGAAAGAGGGAGAAATGGACAATCAAAGGTTGAAGGTCAAGGGGAGCTGGAGTTCCTTCCTTACCAAAATGTACTGAGAATGAATGGGGAGGATGTAGTCCTTTTCTAAGAATCATAGGAAAGTTCTAGCCAGGATGGCAATGGGAAGATAAATTCAGCAAGTTCTCACAGAAGACAGAAGAAAAGTCAAAGAGAAAGAAAGAAACAGATGTATTTAGAAAACAAATATTATTTCTTAGTCTTTAGAGAGAAAGGAATTCTTGAGAACTGACTGGCCAACATTAATGAAGAGCCACACTCAGACACATCTAGGGGGAAAAAAATACACCTGAACATACTACAAATAGTATGCCATTCTTTAAAATAAATTAATCATAGAAAAAAGCCTAAACACCCTAAATTAGGAATGTGACAGCCCACATTTTTTGATCATATCTCACACCAGATACTTTAAAGATTAAAATATATAAACAAAAAAAAATGTACTTTAGGAAAATAAGAATAACTTTTCTATTTTTATAGTAGGGAAGAACTTTTGGCATAACATAAAGGGAAGAAAACATTTAACATTTTTTAAAAACTCTGAATTTGAAACACAAACCAAAAATAGATCGACTATGAAAAAACATTTCTAAAACAACTTATAAGTGATAAAGTGAAATATGCTTGACATATAAACTTATTTAAAATAAACCAAGAAAGATAATACTCTAACAAGTGGGGAAAGGAAATGAGTAGACAATTTGGAAATCCCAATTATATCATTTAATATGTAATTTTGGAACAAGTGAATTAACAGAATCTATTTCCTCATTTCTCAACTTAAAATATTAGCATATTTCATCAATTCTGAGATGATATTGATTTATACATCAGGAAAAAAAAATGCCATCAATGAAACTATGACTTGCCAAAAATCGTAAAACCTATCACAATGTAAAAATAAAGTGCATCATAGAATTAATGAAATATAGTCAGACTTGTCTTATGGGTTGTTATGTGGATTCAACAAGATAACACATGTGAAGAATTTCAAACTAAAAGTGGCTTAAAGCAAACACAATAAGTTAGTTGCTTCTAGCAGTAACATGATCCCATTCTGAAAACAAATTTACATACCTAAACATATGTACAGACAAAATAATTTGAAAATAGCCCTGGCCAGTGTGGCTCAGTTGTTAGAGCATAGGCGGGCACACCGAAAGGTTGCAGGTTCCATTCCAGGTCAGGGCCCTGGCGGGTAGTAGTCAGTCAATGTCTCTTTCTTTCTTTCCACCTCCTGCCTCTTTTCCACTCTCTCTCTAAAAAAAACAAAAAACAACAACCAAAAAACCCACAAGAAAAAAAAAAGGAAAAAATATTCTCTGGTGAGGACTAAAAATAATAAGGATAATTTGAACCCAGCTGGTGTGACTCAGTCTATGAACCAGGAGGTCATGGTTCAATTCCCAGTCAGGGCACAAGCCTAGGTTGCAGGCTCAATTCCAGTGTGGGGCATGCAGGAGGCAGCCAATCAATGATTCTCTCTCATCATTGGTGTTTCTCACTCTCCCTTTCTCTTTGAAATCAATAAAAATATATTTTGAAAATATTAACAGTGAGTATCACTAAATGGTGGGACCATGGATGACAAACTTGTCTTAATAAGTTTTGAAATATTTGCAAGAATCCTATATTACCTCAGTCATTAGAAAGAGAACAATTAGGTTATTTCTATCTTGGGGAAAAAATGTCTAGAATGAAAAGTGCAGGCAGGCATCCCAGGCTATTACAAATTTGGAAGCAGTCCTGGACAGTTTTTCTCAGTGGTTAGAGCATCAGACCAAAGTGTTGCTAGTTCCATTCCTGGTCAAGGGTATGTACCTCAGTTGCTAGTTCAATCCCCCATCCCAGTCAGCGTTTAAGCCAAGACAGTGGGTTGATGTCTCTGTCTTTATCTCCCCTTCCTCCCTTCCTTTCACTCTGCCTAAAAATCAATGGAGAAAATATCCTTGGTGAGGATTAAAAAGAAATAAATAAATTTTGGGAGCAAATAGGCTAGTGCATGAGACACTGGAAGGGACAACAAAGAAATTAGGGAGATGGCAGTGAGTAACCTTATTCTGTAGGTCAACTTCCCTGCCAAATCACTGAGGCACATTTGTACTGTTGCAGGGGTGGGGAATGTAGGGCCCCTGGCCATATAAGGCCCGTGAAATCATTTGGTCTGGCTCTGCCAAGGCATTAGGGGTGAATTAATTAAATGTCTGACCAAATATAGCAGGCTAATTTCTAAACTGGTAATTTTGTATGGCCTGTAACGGATGCTATAAATATCCATATGGCCCTTGGCAGAAACAAGATTCCCCACCCCTGTACTATGGAATGAACAAAATCCAGGGAAGTGAAAATTCTAGAACAAAGCTTTGGTTTAGGCTTCTGTCTGGTTCAGGAAAATTCTCCATAAATGTGGTTTCCTTCTCTCTTCCCTTTTCTCTAAATCACTAGAGTAAATCTCTTAGATAGAATCCTGAAATATTATGGTGTTCTGAAAACCAAGAAACCCTTTCCAAGAATAAAGTGCCACATACAACTTACCTCTGCCATGGCTTTTGATGCACAGCGGCTCTTCTTTCCTCCTGTTCTGGATTCTAAGAGAAGAAAAAAGGTGGAAAAAGATTAGAAAACTAGGAGACAACAGGCTCTCCCAGGTTCTGGAAGGAGGCCCAGTTAAAAGAAATCACTGCCCCACCCCAGGCACTAAGAGGTCCAAAGCCAAAGAAGCCTGCAACTTCCACCATCCTCTCCATCATATCACAGAAGCACAGTGGCCTTAGGGGTCCAGATGGGAGTCCTGGGAGAGAAACCTAGACTGTGGCTGCCTTCCTCCATAAAGCCTGACTTGGGGTTCTTCCAAGCCCCGTAGATTATACTGAGCCCAGATCTGTAGCTCCAAGACACAGGGTAAGTGGATCCATCTGCCAGAGTACCCACACCTCTAGGCTGGGGGCACCTCTATGGGGCGAGATCCCTGGCGACCAGGGTGAAAAAACAAAAAGTACAAGTAGGAGGAGCTCCCAGGCCCAAGCTCTACAAACCGGCTGGACAGCAGAAACAACATCCGGGCGAAAGCTATTTACCGGGCTGGAGAGCAAATGGCGACGGTTTGTCAGCAGCGGCAGGGCTGGAGAGTGTAATTGGAGATACAAAGGCTGGAAATGCAGGCGGGGTCTGGGGTAGACGCCCAGAACCCATCCACCGCCGGACACTCCCAGCGTTGACCAAGAATGGACAAAGAGGGCGCCTTTCCCAGTTTTACGCCCAAAGGCAGAGACGGAGTCGTGGCCACATGGGATTCTCACACCAGGGCCACAGAGAGCTCCGCTCAGATAGTGCACTCCGCGTGTTACCACAGGCACTTAGCCCTGCG